CAGTAAGTGCTTCAAGTCATCTTCATTTTCAGCAAGAGGGTTGTGTCATCTGCACATGACAGATTGTTAATGAGTCTTCCTCCAGTCCTGATGTGGCGTGCTTCACGTAGCCCTGCTTCTTGGATAATTTACTCGGCGCACAGTTGATTAGTGTGGGGAGAGGAAACAGCCCTGACGCGCTCCCTTCCTGCAGCTACGGTATATTCCTATGGCCTGCCTACAGCATTCCGCTCTGCACATACCCCACCATCCAGTCACAGCCTGCAAGTAGTGGCTTAGACTCACTGCTCCTGTGAATGGCGGTGGAGTTTCCAGTTTCTATAGGTTTGGTTTGCTTGTTTTCCCCCAGCTTACTTTTTGCCGTTACAACAGTGGTTCTTTTCCTCACCTTCTGTCCCCCATGTGCGATAAAACCATACACACTGAAGCGTGAGCAGCAGAGTCCTGGTGACAGTGTGATGGAAGGTTCTACTTTCAGAGAGCACGGCAGCGCGTTGTCCAAAGCAGTTACGCCACTTTGTCGGCTGCAGCTGTGTCTGAGACAGACTGGGCTCTGCACCCTCGCCAACACTGCCATGGCCACTCTTGCTTCATACTCGCAGAAGGAACAGGCGTGCGGTGTAGTCTTGGGTCTTCTCCCCTCTCTCAGGATGTTGACTTCCTCTTCATATTTAGTGGCCATGTGTGTTTCCTCTTCACTGAAATGCCTGTGCATGTCTCTTGCCCATTTTCCCGTTGGAGTTATGTGTGTGTTTGTGTTAGGCTGGGTTCTCTAGAGAAGCAAAACCAGTAAAGCTTATAGAGGGAGAGAGAAAGAGAAATTTATCTCAGGAAAATGGCTCATACACTTGTAGGAGCTGGCAAGTACCAAGTTCTTGGATCAAACCTCAAGCTGGAGGCTTTTCCTGACTCTCGCAGTCACAGGGGCTGAAGAGCTCAAGGTTGGCAGGCAGTGTAGCAACTGTTGACTCCAATGAATGACGAATCCAAGATCTGCAGGCCAAATGGTGGATTGTTCACTCACGGACAGTTGTAGGCGGCACAACAGGATCCCGACCCATAGAAGAGTGTCTCTTTTCCCAGGATGTCCATAAATATGTTGGAAGCAGGGCACACCCCTAGGTAAACTCCCTTTCAATGGATTGGCTGCTCAAAACATAATATATCCAATCCCATCATTGGAACAACCCACATCACAACTGCTTAAACCACTCAGAATTGGGGTCCAGCCAAGTTGACACACAGCTCCAGCTATCACAGTGTTCTTAGTGACTTACAGCCAAACCGAACCAAACAGACGGCCATCAGTTCTGAATCATAATGATCCCATTGAGTTTCCAAGGCTGTAAATCTTTACAGAAGCAAACTGCTTCATCTTTCTTCCATGGAGTCGTTGGTGGGTTCGAACCACCAATCTTTTGGTTAGCAGCCAAATACGTTAACCACTGCACCACCAGAGCCCCTTTGTAACTTAGAGGCGTTCTTAGTAAGCTTTGACAGTAATCCGTTTTGGCCGGTGTCCCACTGCAGTCCCTGTGCCCGTCATGTTGTGTGTTCTGGTTTCCGACTCCAGCCACAGTGAGCGGTCTCTCCTGAGGACCCACTGTCTGAGGCTCCTTGCCATCTCTGCTTTGCTTCCCCCCTTTGGGGTCACTTGGAGCCTTTGTTCTCCTCTGACTTGAGTCCATCGTCCACGGCTGTCTGCACCCTGGCTGTCTCACAGCACATGCTGAGGCCGCAGGTGCCCGAGGATGCGTGTGGTCGTGCTCCTGTTTTCAATGGCCGTCTGCACCCTGGCTGTCTCACAGCACATGCTGAGGCCGCAGGTGCCCGAGGACGCGTGTGGTCGTGCTCCTGTTTTCAATGGCCGTCTGTATCCTGGCTGTCTCACAGCACATGCTGAGGCCGCAGGTGCCCGAGGACGCGTGTGGTCATGCTCCCGTGTTCAATGGCTCTTCAGCTGGATGTAAAATTCTAGGCTTTCAGTCCTTTTCCTTCAATAAATTAAAAAATACTGCTCCATTGTTTTCCTGTATCCCGTATTTTCTGACTTTTGTTCCTTTAAGTGTGGTCTGCTTGCTCCTTCTGGAATCCTACAGTTTTCTTGTCTTTGGTGTTCATTAGTTTCACTGCAGTGTAGTGAATTTACAGATGGTCTTGGTTGGTAAAATGTGTCCTGGTACTTGGTGAGCATCTGCCTAACAACAAAGCATCTGCATGAAGCATTGACAGCAGCGTCTGCCAGGAGTAAGAACTAAGTACGTAGTAGCTGCCGGGTTTAGTATTATAATAACTATATCTTGTTTTGTGGATTTTTTGAGCCATTTTCATTTCCTCTGGTTTTGCCTGCTTTTTAAGGTCCTTGACTGTTAATCCCAGGGGTCCTGGTGGTGCAGTGGTTAAGAGCTTGACTCCTAGACTGTTAACCAAGAGGTCGGCCTTTGAACCCACTAGCTGCACCCTTGGAGAAAGATGAGGCAGTCGGCTTCCATAAAGATGAGAACCTTGGAAACCCTGTGGGGCAGTTCCACTCGGTCCTCTAGGGGCGCTGTGGGTCAGAATGGACTCCACGGCAGTGGGTGTGGTTTGGGCTCTGCTTCTGTGAAGACTGACAGCCTTGGAGACCCTGT